TTTGAAATTGGTGGTACTTCCGATGCCCACAGCTCTTCTTGTGTTGGTTGCCGATGTTGGGGCCACCAGATGGTAGTATGGCATTGCTTGTGTGCTTGTTGGGTTTTCTGAGACGCACATACATACACAAAAAGCGGTGCGAGTGAATGTGCGCACACAAGACACACACGCATATCGAAGCACATTGTCTGTGTGACTTGTGCTTGACATATTATGCGAGGCGGGTTGGTGCGAGCAAGGCCGTCGGAAGAAGGGAAGCCGCGTGAGTCCAGCAATGGCGTTTGTGGTTGTGCGCGGGATCATATGTTCCATCAGATGCTCGACGCCGTTTATGGATCGTTTAAAGTTTTTTCTGCGATGCCCATGCTGCGGCTGTGCTGAGCTGCTCACTGCGTCTCCATGAACTCATGGAGCACGGCGTGACGCTGCTCGAGGACCTCATGACGCCGCGGCAGCCGATTATGAGTAGCCCTGCGCCCTACTTTTTTGCCGTGGAGGATGCGTCTGTGAGCCGCGTGGCTGAGGATTGGATTGCAAAGGTCCCGTACAGGGATGCACACATCTTTGCGCTGGAGTGCACCCCGCATCGCCACCCTTAGCAACTCGCGTGGGCTCGGATAGCGCCGAGGGCGATGTGTTCCAAGGACATTATGTTAGACTTCGCCGCCCGTGAGGTGCTGGTTTTCCACCTCAGCATGCAGAATGGGTTTCTCAGCTGCTGTCGCTACTGTCGCCTCCGAATTGATGGTCCGTTTTGGATGTTGCGGCGTCACGTCCTGTGGCGGCTTTTCACGCCATGAACAACGGTGTGCCCGTCATTCGCCACCAAAACAGTGGCAGCATCTGCAATGGGCTTGCCAGGCTCTGCCACGACGAGCCGGATTTCACTTAGGGGCGCCGACAGCCGCGGCAACCCGGTGCGGATCATCGTTGATTGAAGCTGTGTCATGGTGACGCCGCTGATGCACCAACGCACATCTCAGTTTCTGCTTGATGAACTGATGCCGCCGGGGAAGAAATTGTATGAGCGGACCTGTAGGAATCGTCTGGGTGAGGACTAGAAGCGGCAGCAATTGATGGGGAAGATGTGTACCGGTGCTCCTACCGTCATTGTTTTCTTGCGCATTGCGTGGAGGAGCTTTTGGTGGCGCTGAAAACACTCCACGCGTATCACCCGGGATTGGCGCATGGCGTGGAGCCGAAGGCCAATCTTGCGGAGTTGACCAGTGCGGTGCGGTCTCCGCCGGAGTTTCGGGAGAGGCAAACCAGACTGTCGCTGCAGGTCGATTTTTTGCGCGAGGCTTGTGGCACAGTACCGGGAGAAGCGACTGGCGGAGGTGTGGGAGGCGGAACAAGACATCGCCGTTGGGCGCAAACCCTTCAGGAAAAACCTGGATGGCGTGCGGCGCCTGACAAAGGATGCCGCGATGCCCCGGCCAGTGCGTCTGCGTCTTCTCCCGTTGTTTGTGACTGCGAGGAGCACCGACGAGTTGAAGTAGGCCAAGAAGCAGCAGCTGATCTAAGACGGTAGACTGACACCAGACGCCCATTTGTCTGCGAACCTTGAGCATGTGACGAGGAGGGCCGGGAACGTGCAGCAATACAGCACGGCGTCGGCGCAGGGCGGACGGAGCACGAGTGCCTCTGCGAGCAACGCCGCGACGGACGGGGATCCGCTTCTGAAACAGGCCTGTATGATGATGGAGACGGACAGGAATAGGACGCTGCGGGTTGAGCTGTCGTTGGCATCGGTGCAGCGCGATCATGCGATGGGGCCAAATGGCGCGAGTGGTGGCCAAAACAGTGGAGCATGAAAAAACCGCCGGGCCATTTCAAGGGTGTGGTGGCAAATGGGAGAATCATCCTGATCTGTGTGGCGGTGATGGTGGGATGATAGCCCTCACAACTCCTCAGCGCATTGTGCTGCTTGTTTTGGGTGGTGTGGCCTGCAGCGAGAGGCGCTCGGTCCATGAGATATCCAAAAGGTACGGCCGTGAGGTGGTCATTGGGGAAATCTCGTTGCTTCGTCCTGAGGTGTGTTTGTGCAGGGAATTGGCATCCTACGGCACTGTGACTCACTGGCGAGACACGCACAGGAACGCATCGAGGGCCAAAGAGTGGAACAGAAGCAACCACACACGATTGCGGGTGTCTGTGGAGATTGTGTGCGCTTCTTCCTGCATTCCGTTCCTCTCCATGAAGCGTTTTATACGATACGCGTGTGTGTGTTTGGACGGCTGCGCTGCTTGCCTTTTGCTTTTGTTTTCTTGCGTGTGCGGTTGCAAGTCGTTTCTCTGCCACTAAGAAGGCGGTTAAAAAAGGAAGGACATTTGTGGAGCATGCACCCACGGCTTCAGTGTTCGTCCACTGATGCTGACTTTTTTCGCCGGGGCATTTGTGCACGCTTTTCCCTCCAGTGTTTATTATTTTTTTTGCAGAGGAGGCAACGGGTGGGCATTCGTGAGTGCTGCGGCGGGCTGTTTTTTCCTTCGCGGGGACGCACGCAACGGCGGCAGCTCCATGACTTTGTGCACAGAAGGAATGGAACTTTCTCCGGATTCTCACCGCAGGCGCATGCCGTGGACGGCCGAAAAGGAGTGTGTGCCCGGTGTTGTTCATGGCTCCAAGGGAAAGATGGTGTTGGATGGTGCACAGCGAGTGGATGTGGAATGTGTTGACCGTGCATCGCAGGTGTATCCGCTGGAGGCATTGCGGGCGGCCGTCGCCACATGCGAGTACAACACATTTGGAGGAAAGAACATTTTTAATTGGTCTCTCCGGCGGAATCAAATGTGCTCAGGCAATGAGTTTACTGCAAGGAGTGGCCGCAGGGGACGCACGACGAGAACGCCACTCGCACCGTCATTCATTTCCGTCGTCGCCAGACCACAACGCAGCCCGCGCCAATACGACTTGCGGATTTTCCGAGGTGGCACGCGCTGTTCTGTTTGCCGTCATTGTTCCCCATCCCCGAGCGTCGGTGCAGGCGTCCCTGTCGATGCAAGTTCCTGTGGCTTTCGGACACATCCATTGATTGATGCGGCCGACACCCCAGCCCATTGCTGGTGCTTCTGGCATGACCGCTGCACCGCCCCAGCAGCTGGTGCAGTGGGAATGGGGACGAGAACACAGCAGACCAGGTTCAATCAGATGGTGCTGGCAGCCCTGTCAGCGTCCCGCCGACTCCAGCGAGCACAGAAATCGACGGGGTAGGAGAGGAATCAAATGATTGCCAGGGAAGCAAATTTTTTTCACATCACTCCCAGTCAAACAGCAAGAAGAATTCACAACAACATCAGTCACTAAAAATGACGAAGGAAGAGCGACCACCGCCGACAGCGACAGCCCCACCGCGGTCTCCCACACCACCTCCCATCCTTTGCGTCTTATTGTCTCGTATGCGTGCTGCTGCTGCTGCAGTGGTGGTGGCGGTGCCTGCATGAAGTGGAGTGCGCTGAATATGAACGAAGGCCAAAGTCAACTGAATTTTTTTTGTGATGAATATTGGCTGCACTTCCCGTGGACCAACAATCCACGTGGTGTGCGGGGATCGTTCCCTTTTACCGTTACTTTGCTTTTGCGTTGCTGTGTGCGCTGCGCCTATTCCTCTTGTGTGTGTGCGTACCCTCCGTGAGGGTGCCGACACGACGGACCGCTCTCGCCGTATGCACATGCGGTGGAGCGTTGTGTGCCGCTCCTGTTTGCTTCTCCCTCTTCCATCTGTGTGTTGTTGTTGCGGCAGGGCTGTGTGTGTGTGTGCCTGCTGCCGTGGATTGGAGTGTGTGTCGTGCGTGGTGTGCGGCGTACGGTGCATGCCTGGCTGCTACCCTCTCCTCATGTGGTGTGCCATCTGTGTGTGTCTGCCGCACCTCTCGTCTCCCCTGTTGCTCTCCATGTCCCTCGCTGTGCAGATCAGCTCCACACCACTGAACGACCACACTCACGATGATGACGTGCCGTCTGCTGTGCGCCCTGTTGGTGCTTGCCCTGTGCTACTGCCCGTCCGTGTGTGCGACAACGGAAGAAGATAACCCCGGTACGGACTCTGAACTAAAAAAGGATGAAGGTAGGACAAACGGTAGGCAGAAGGGAACAAGTGAGAGCCCAGACCTGACGACCAAAGAGTCACAGGTTGAAAGTGAGGGCGGTACGCAAGACATACAAGGTCGGGACACCGATGTGATCTCCGACAGTGAAGGTGCACCAGGTGCGTCCGGTGAGCCAGGGAAAACAAGCGATGTGGATCAATCTGCAACAAACCCAAAATTGGGGGTTCCTTTGGAAAAAACGACGACCACAACACCAACTACAACTACAACAAAAGCACCAAACAATATGAATACAGAGGCGCCAACCACGACGACCACCACACCGTCACGTCTTCGCGAAATTGACGGCAGCCTCAGCAGCTCTGCGTGGGTGTGTGCCCCGCTGGTGCTCGCCGCATCCGCGCTGGCGTACACCACTGTGGGCTGAAGAATTGTGTGTGCGGGCTGTGCGTGCCAGCACTCAAAGGCGGTGACATGTGTGCGTCCACTGTGGTCCGATGTATAAAGTAAGAGTAATTATGATGATTGTGTTTTTGCTTCCTTTGCTTCCGCTGCCCTGCTGTGTGCTCCGTGCTGTGCGCCACATCCGTCACGTTGAACGCATCCGAAACATACGCATACGCACGACAAGCACACAACTGTTTGCGTGGACACACTGTTGAGAATAGAGGCGTGCGCGCTGGAGCCATACTGTGCAGCTCCTTTTTGTGTGTTTTTACTGTTTTACTTTATTGCTGCCTGTTCACTTTTGTTTTTCCTTGTTTTCTGTGCTTTTCTTTACTTGCAGCGCATTGTGTCTTTTTTCACTTTCATTGGTTCAATATTTCTCATGAAATGCGTGCTCCTGCTCCTGCTGCTGCTGTATTTTACTGTGCCGTGTCTTTTGTTGCTTTCACTCTGCGTTGACGGGGGTTAGTTTGTGCTGAAGGCTGCACGCAAGTGACAGGAGTGATGGCGATGATGATGACTGGCCGTGTGCTGCTGGTGTGTGCCCTCTGCGTGCTGTGGTGCGTTGCCGGCGGTGTTTATGCGAGGGACGTTGACACCAACGCACTGGGTGGCTGCATGGCGTCGGGAGTGTTGGGTGAGAATGGATCCCACATGCCTGACGGATGTAATAAAACTGCGATTACGGTGCCTTTGCGGTCAGTACTGCCCATTACTGCCGTTGAAGCCTCGACTGGAGAAGGTTCTCCTGATGGTGGTGCTGGCGCTGCCGGGGCTTCTGGTGATCGTGGTGCTACTGGTGATACTTCTGGCAGTGGAGGTCCTTCTGCTTCTCCTGCTCCTCCTGCTGCTGCTGCTCCTGGTGGTTCTCCTGGTGGTGGTTCTGGTGGAGGCAGTGGAACTTCTACTGGTGGTACACAGAACAATTCGAATTCAAGTGAGAATCTCGAGTCTGGTGCTTCTGGTGGTGGACCTGCTGCTGGTGGAGGAGGTGGTTCTGGTGGTGGTGGCGGTCGAACTCCTACTGGAGGTCATGGCACCGGTGGCATTCCTCCTGCTCCTGCTGCTCCTCCTGCTTCTCCTCCTGCTCCTGCTTCTTCTCCTGCTCCTGCTGCTCCTGGTGTTGATTCTTCAGCTAGCAGCAGTGGTGGTACAGCGGGGTCCTCAGGCAGTAATCCATCTAACACAACAGGGGACTCTTCAACAGGAGATCAGTCGTCTGCTGCAGCAGAGGCTCACAACTCCTCGCTACCCGAAGGACCGGAAGGAACGACGTCCGGCACTGGACACACACGACAAGAAGAAGAAGAAGAAAATGAAAAGCAGCAGCAAAGTGATGAAACACAAGTCCAACAACATCAACAGCATGAACACCCCGCGGAAAACGGCGAAGAATCAGCGAAAGATAAAAACGCCCTTCGTACAAATGCCACCGCAAATACAGGCGACAGTGACGGCAGCACCGCGGTCTCCCACACCACCTCCCCTCTTTTGCCTCTTCTTCTTGTTGCTTGTGCGGCTGCTGCTGCGGTGGTGGCCGCGTGAGAGTGAGGGGGAGAGAGCCATGCACCGCCCGCACACACACTCGTCCTTCTCTCTCTGTGTGTGTCCCCTTGCATGGACTCTCGCCCTCACCTCACCCCACGAGGCACACACATAATGTGCCCATTGTATATATGCATGCACACCCATGCAGGCCCGTTGGTGCTCTCTTTTGCACGACACGCACCGCTGCCGTCCTGCCTGGCTGCATGGGCGGAGCACCGTAACTGTTTCTGTTTTGTTTTTATTGCGTTGAGTGGGCGACCTCTCTCTCTCTCCCTCTGTGTGTGTGTTTTGCTTTACGGGAGTAATGAGAGTGTGTGTGCGCTGGTCGTCCCACGCTTCGGCTTTTTGTTTTGTTTTCCTTTTTGATTTTGTGGTTGAGTGCACCCATTCCGCGGCTGCGTGTGTGTGTGTGTGTGATGATATGAGTAATTTGCGTGTGTGCTATCTGCCTCTCTCTGCCGTTGCTTTCTTCAGACTCTCTTGTGGCGCACAGCTGCTCCGCAAGTATAGGCGCTGCCAAACACACAAGCAAATGCACACACACATGCCGTGTTTAAAACGCTGAGAATGCACGCACGCACAGGATTGTGGCTGCGGAGGCCCTCGCGAGGGGGGAAAAAGCCTGCATTTTGTTTTTTTTTGACATGTTGCTCGGTGTGTGCTGACGCGTGACGAATAACAACACGCCCCAATAAGCAGAAAAGAAGTAAAACAAAATGGCGCTGAGCGGCACACCAGTAAGCCAAAAATACGCAATCACCAATAAAAAAGCCGGCGATCACCCAGCAGGCACATCAAGCCTCCTAAAAACCAACCTGGAACAGACAAAAAAAAAGAGACAATCATAGAAAACAAAGATCCCCGCCCCCAAACAGGAAAAACATTAAATAAAACGCGATTCTTTTTTTTGTCCTTACTGCCGGGGTTGGCCGCCGCAAGAAATAAAAAATGGTGGGGCGGTGGCCCCGGACGTTGGATACAACACGACGAATCGTAGTAACCACGCTGCGGCTGCGGCCCCGTACGAGAGATATATGACGACTTATCGTAGTAACCACGCTGCGGCGGCGCACCCTAAACATGTCGTTTTCGTTTTCCAGGGGACAACGCAAATGTGCTCGATTGTTCGAAGATCGAAATTAATACTTTACGTGAAAAGGGGTCGCGCGACCGCATTTTTATAGCTCAGTGGCAAACACGCTCACAATGTCATCCGGGGACGCGGGTTCGATTCCCGCAGAAGCCTAAGTTTTTTCCATTTTTTTTTTTGAATTCTTGTTTCATATTGCTTTTTAAACTTCTGGTTTGCAGGACGGTGTGCGAGTTCTGCAATCGCACTGATTCCATCTGTTTCGTGGTTTGTGCGGCTGCTGCTGCGGTGGTGGCCGCGTGAGAGTGAGTGTGAGAGAGCCATGCACCGCCCGCACACACTCGTCCTTCTCTCTCTGTGTGTGTGTCCCCTTGCATGGACTCTCGCCCTCACCTCACCCCACGAAGCACACACAATAATGTGCCCATTGTATATATGCATGCACACCCATGCAGGCCCGTTGGTGCTCTCTTTTGCACGACACGCACCGCTGCCGTCCTGCCTGGCTGCATGGGCGGAGCACCGTAACTGTTTCTGTTTTGTTTTTATTGCATTGAGTGGGCGACCTCTCTCTCTCTCCCTGTGTGTGTGTGTGTTTTGCTTTACGGGAGCAATGAGAGTGTGTGTGCGCTGGTCGTCCCACGCTTCGGCTTTTTTTTTTTTTTGTAAGTTCAATTTCTTATACTGTTTGCTTTAAATTTCTTGCTAGTCTTTTTTTGTTATTAATTTTTCCGTTTTTTTCTTTTCATCTCTCACTCCCCATCCTTCTTTTTTTTCTTTTGGGGCAATCAATATGGACGTTTTTCTTTTCTACTCTTCCCTCTTTAATTGTTTGTTGCTGCACTCTTCGTGCGAGGGGTGCCGTGTGTTCCCGCCCAACTGCTCCACTCGCACACCCACCGACACGCTCATGACGACGGCCCTGTGCGCCTCGCCTGCTGCACGCATGAGGAGGGGCCGCGACGAACGGCGCGCTGAGGGAGCCGTGACGTGTGGGCGTGCGACGAGGGCCTGTGGGGCGGCGCACACATTTCTTTCCCTCTTGTTTTGTTTTGTTTGCGGCCAGGGCTGGCAGACACCCGCAGCGCCACACACACACAGCCACACCCTGCCGCCGTGTTTTTTTTCTTTTCTTTTCTCTGGATGGGCGTGTGCTGCCACCGTGCGTGATTATTGGGGTTGGGCCGTGCCGCATGTATCGCTGCCATCCAGCTGTGCCTCTTGCTGTGCTGATGTGCCTCCCTGTGCTTCTCTTCTCTTCTGCTCCTCCAGCACACATAAGTATTTCCACAGTGCACTGCATGAATGCTCTTTCTATTTTGCTGGAGGCCGGCTGACGCGGCTGCACGATGCCCGCCATATGTGAAAGCACTGCCTGCTCTTGGGGTCATTCTTTTCTCCTCTTTGTTTTTGCTCTGCCGGGTGCGTGCGTTGCTCGGTGTGTGCCGGTGCGTGACGGGCGGTGCCACGATGGCGTTCTCTGGCGATAACAGTTGCTGTGCTCTCGACACACATCCACACTCTCTTTCTTGTCCCTCTGTGTAAGTGATTGCGGCAGGGCATTGCTGCGAGCGTGACGGGGACCACGGCGGCGTCACCCCTCGAGAAGGTCCCACGCTCTGTCGGTTGTGTAGCGGTGAGGCGGTTTGCCTGCAGATTGACTGACAGAACCGCACAGTCGTTTCATTGCAGTCACTCCATCGGCATCAACCGTTGCGGTGGTGTCCGCAGGAGCCGCCGCCCCGATGAGGATGGCCCCGTAGTTGCCTGGCAGCTCGGAACTTCCTGCCCTTCGCCCTCCAGGATTGCCCTTGCCGTTCGACTGGCGCAGCACCGGCCTGACACCGCTTTTCTGCGGGAGTGCAGGCAGTAGGGCGCCCCAGCGACGCGGCGCGTTGGCTGCGGTGTCTTCCACCAGACCTGCAGTGGGCGTGCCGGTGGTGTGACCCTCTTGGTGCGCCACACCTTGCTGTGCGAGTGCCTGCCGCTCGTGGCACCAACTTTCTGGAGACCACTGCCTTCCGCGTGTGCCCACCGGCCAGCCCCAGCATGTACGTGGTGAACCTCTGCGGCCTTTTTCTGGAAATTGCTCACTCTGCCCAGTTTGCGACCACCATTTGTCGCCTTGGTCCTGCAGCGCCTATTGCGGGCTACCTGAACTCGCACCATGAGCTGCGGGACGGTCGCTCACGATCAACGACGGCAGGAGAGAACCTCGCCGCCACCTCAAGCGGCATGGAGTGTGAGCTGTCCGACGACCCGGCACAGCCAGCGCGGATCAGCGGCCGCAGCGTCTCGTTTCCCGACGTGACTGCGCAACGCGTACTGCGTGTCTCCCACTGGACGTCCACCCCTTTGCATGGAGTCGGACCAACATCTGCCGTTGTATACCGCAGCAACGGAGGACGGCCTCCCGCGACCGGCAGGCATGCTGCCGCGACGGAAACATGCCGTCGTTGTTCTGCTTGAAGCCGACTGGAATGCTTCCACCTCGGTGTGTGCAACGCCTCTGGCCACTGTGACCACACGGTTGGATATGCACCGAGCGAGCGGCAAGGCGCACCATTCCGCGCGGCAGCCGTGACAGCCACTGATGAACCTGGACGGTCAGAGCGGAGCAGGCCGAGTGTGTTGCAGCGGCAGCATGGGACGCGCACACAGCCTCACCGGGAGGCAGCCTGCCCCGAGCTGAAGATGTCCGCAAACGGGAGTACCGCAATCATGCCCTCTGCCGTAACTTCTCCATGCTGCTTGTGGTCCGTGCGAAAGAGCTTGGTGCCCTCTCGAGCCCACGCCTCTGATGCCGCAAGGCATGGAGGCACCGCGTCCCTGCCCTCTGGGATCGGCCGTGCCGCAGTACTGTTGGGACCGCGTTTGTGCTCTGTCTTGGCAGCAGGAAAATTTGCTTGTCCGTCACACTGTCCGCGTCGCACGTGCTGCGATCCCCAGTGCTGTCCGCACACTTTGTGCTTGCGTGTCCCCTGGTGACTGTGATATGGATGGGTCCTTCACGCCGTATGCGCTTGACTTCACCATCCGCCACTGTTTGCCTTGCTTGGCCCCTGGCCCCGGTGGCGCATTGAATGTGTTTCTGTGCCATCTTGCACCCGCTGCCCGCTCCTCGCACAGAACGATGATCAATACCTCCCTCGCTGACGGCAGCCTGCGGGGTTCCTGCGAAACGGGGACACCACTCCCATCTGCAAACACGGGAAGGACACATGCCGCACGGAGGGAGTTGTTGGCCAATCCCGCTGCTCTCTGTCCTGCTAGGGGAGAGCGAAGGACTGGTCCACCGCCGCCTGTCAGCACTGCTGGCACACCACCGACGCCAGTCTGTATCCACGCCACGACGCGCGGTGGTTGTATGGGGTTGTGTGGGTGGTGGGAGGGTGATGGTGTCACTGAATTTATTGCGTCTGCGCGGCTTTGTGTCGGCGGCTGTACTGTGGTGGGGATTGTGTATGACCGGATGCCTCTG